CCTAGCACCGTGGCAGCCAGGGCTTCGTCAGGCAGTCTTTCGAGGCATCGCGTGTCGGACAGATTTAGTAGGCCTTGTGGCTCTTCGAGCCCGGGCTTCTTAAAACGCGTTTTGGGTTCAGGGTTTTTAGCTCCCCGATCGGTTGTCAGGTGAGGAAGTGCAAAACTGGTCTGTGAGCTACTCCCTACGCCTAGGCAGTGCAATGTCACGTGTGGCCATCCAAGCGCCGTCGCAACCTGTGCGTATTTATCAGCTACGAATTCTGCTCTTTCACCATCGGCACGCTTCGCATCTTTTGCGCATTGCCGCCTAGCTGCCATTTGTGCTGGCCGCGGCTCTTGTCTTGAACTTCGAGCTCTTCTCACCGAATTTGCTGCCCAACTCAACTTGTAATGACAGTGCTCCTGCACTCTCCCTGCATAAAACTGCCTATCTGTAACTACTTCAGGCTTGATGCATCGTCACCCAGGAAGCCAGTCAATGCATCCGCTCGTCATGAGGCATGGCCCCTCCAAGCACCGGGACAACCTTTGCTTGCGGCTCGCCAGCTACGAATGCTCCTCAACCCTGTGGGTAAGGTTGTGCCGTGTACTGTGCAGCAATGCCAGCTGTCTGCACACTCCTCGTGCTGATGTTGCCCATAGCTCGCCGCTGCAAGATCCTTGCTTTGCACTCTTGCCCTTGCCACTCATGCCGGTTGTAGGCGGAAGGAGCATTAAAACGAGCTCAGGGTTGTGACTTTGATGGTGTGCATGGCCTCAATCCAGGTGCCGAGACTGTCGAGCTGATCACGTTTCGCATCTCTCGCAAAGTGCCGCCCAACTGCCATTCGCGGTTCGAGCTGTGGCAGAAGTCAACCTGCAATGACAGCGCCCTTACACACTCTCTCTGGCAAAACTGGTACAGATTCGGAAGCATGCCGGCGATTGGAGCAGCCGACATTCTGAGCTTTGTTGACGCACGGTCTGATCTCCATCCTCGCACCGTCCTTCGAATCGCATGTCGGACCGATGGAGTAGCAGCTGTGGCTCTCTGAGCCAGCTGTACCTGAACTCATGCACTGGCCTCTGCACTTTACGCTCAGCTGGTCGGCTTGGATTCCGCAAGCAGCTTCGCTGTCTCCAAGGAACAGTGGATCCCAGTGAAGCCCCGTTCTGTGAGCCATGAGCGCAGGTGTAGTGCGTGCAGACAGCAGGTGGCAGCTTTTCAGGACAACTGCGTGCAATGCTGAAAGGCCTTGACTCCAGTGAGCCATGGTTCTAGTGGCAGGAACAGCTGCGCGCAACTTCTTCCGTGGAGTTGCAGGGTGTAGTCGTTCTGATACTCTTCATGCCTCAGTCGTTGTAGCGTTGGCATGGATCTCCCATGCAGTCCCGCACATGTGTGGGTCCCGTGCAGCTCGCAGTGCGCTCAGCTGCGACTGTCCTCTCGCCACGTTGCTTGCGGCTCTTTGCTCTTTCTCCGACACGGGATCTCCGAGCTTCAGCTCGGCTTGTGCCTATGCCTCACTCTGCGACTCAGCAAGTGCTAGGTGCAGCTGCAACGTCCTGCAATCGAACAGACTTTGCATGGGAGCATATTTGTCGAACTTGCTCGAGAGAATGCCAAAGTCCAGATTCTTGCAGCTTGTGGCTGGAAGCAGCTCGGCGTGGCACGACCTGTGTGAAATGGCAGAATTGTCTTGGTACTGAGTAGCTGAACGTATCCGAACTCAACATCTAGACGTGCGTCGCCTGCGTTTCATTGGTTTCCTCGGTTCATGTCTTGATCACACAACCAAAACGTGGGATGATACCGCGTTTGCTATGGAACATGAGCGATGCACGCCAAGAAAGTGATTGAACACATGCTCCGCCTTAATTTCTTTGGTTTCCGCTTGAGCGATGCAAGTTGATTGTATGCCTCACTTGCCTTCCTTTGGTTCCTGTGTTTCATTTCTTGATCGCATGAACCAAAAGAATCCAAAAAGGCAAGATGGAACTGCGTTAGCTATGGAACTCAGGCGATCCACGCCTAGAAACAAAGACTTGTAAGACTAAAGTCCAAAGTGCACCCCTCCTCCGCCACGCCGCCACCCGAGTGCCCCTCGCCCCCCTCTGCCTGCGCCTTCAGCGGTGCCCTGCCTGTGGCAACTCGTCGGTGTGTTGTGCGGTATCTCGGCCACCTATTGAAGTTCGGCAAGCAGTCGCGGCGCCCTGAACAGTCCTGCAGTCGTCATGGTACCTGCCTCCTTGCCTTGTTTGTATCTCAGTCCTTCCTGGGCTTTGGTTGCCTCTGTCTCTGAACAAGTGTGCGAGATGCAAACCCTCACTCTGTCAAAGCACGATGTCTTTCTGCAAACCCGACGTGCTGAACCACGCAGGCCAAGTTCAATGTTGAGGGTTTCGCGTGGTGAAGCAGATACCGTGTTTCGCCTGTGCATTCCTCAGCGAGAGCCGCTATCTAGATAACTTAGAGCCAAATTGCATGCTCGAGCCTTTTACATGCAACTTTGATTGCCTCCGCTAGATGTCGGTAGATCGGTGTTGCGCTCATCCATACTCTGCATAAGCCGTGAGCCTTCATTCCCTGCCGAGCCGGTCCCTTGTTTTACTGCACCAAAGCATTCGGAAGGGCGACACGGCGAGTGTGCAACAAGGGCTCGGGCACTCAGGATTGAATCCGCTTTGGCGCATCGATGTGCATGTCTCCGCAGCTTCCCGAGCATGTCGCAGACAAACGAGTCGTGGTTTAGGGTTTAGGCTAACCCTAACCCCTAAACCAAAACCTGAACCCTAAACCCTAAGCCCTAAACCTTAAACCCTAACTCGCAGGAGACCATATATAAGGATGATGCAGCAGATGCTACCTCAACATTTGCCCTAAGTGGTACAGAATCAACAAGTATCTAGTAACAAAAAATAACACTGAAAACCCTTTACCCAAAACCCTAAACGGCCTAAGCGCCCCCCAATCCCCAAATTCTGACAAGAACCCTGGCTAAGCCTTCAGAACCCGGAAGCCCACACCACACAAACCCAGAAAAAGATGTACGAAATGCTTCAGCAACCTGCTGGGATCAGCTGCATGAGAAGTCGTGACCCCTGAACCCTAAACCCCTAAACCCTAAACCCTAAACCCCTAAACCCTAAACCCCCCGAAAGAACCCGGGGAATGAACGACTCTCTGCTGGCCGCCGGCCGGCCTCCAGGCGCTCTCTTTGATTCATATGCAATATAGGGGCCTTAAGGGGAACTCCAGAAAGTTGGAATATGGTTTTAGGGTAGGATACCCTATAATTTACCATAAAGGGTTTAGGATAAGCATATTCCAACTTTCTAGCTTTTACTGTGGGGACCCAAATATAGTAACCTAAATAGTAGGATCCTTATTATAAGGACCCCAAAATAAGGTACCCCTAGTTTTCGGAAACTCCCATATGCAATATAGGGGCCTTAATAATTGCCTAGACTATTTTAGGGGTTCCTTGTCATATCATAGAAAACTGGTCCCCAAAACACTATTCCAATTATGAAGGCCCCGATATTATGGGTTTAGGGCGTTTTACTGTTGAGAGACTTCTTTTTTGGCTGAGTAGACCCCTTAGTTAACCTCCCGACCCTCAACCGAAAAGCCCCTAAACCAACCCTCAATGCGAAGCCGCAGAATCTAGAGAACCCCTAGAGGGCCCTCAAGAATTCATGGGCTCCTAAAGGGGCATCGGATACAAGCTCTGGAGAGCAGGGACTGGAGACGTAGACCTAGTAGATGCAGCTAAGTGTGAGGGAAGTGGTTCTGAGCTGGGGTTGAAGGGCGTAAAGGGCTGGCAACTCTCAACTTTCATGCCACAACCCCTTGTAAGGAAGCTGCATCAAGAGAAGGCCCCCCACAAAAAGGGGCGCCACTTTCATTAGGCAAGCCCTTTTAAACTGCAGTGTTGCTGGGTGTTCCAGATTCCGAGAGCAAGGCCCAGCGTGGCGTGGCCCTACACCCTGAAACATGAACCCATCCCAAATTGTACAGCGCCCCGAACCCCTCACCCCCGTACCAAATTGACTCAGACCTGGCATGTTGCCCATTTCTTCTAAACCCTAAACTAGGGGCGTGAAATGCCGCAGATGCCACAGACTTGAGGAGCTGAGCAACAAGAACTAGTAGCAACCTCGTCGTGGTGGTAGTCGTAGAGGAACTGTCTGCTTCTAGTTCTTCTACCGTTTAACCTGGAAGGCGCTTCCCCTAAACCCTTAAGCCCCGTAGAAGACACACTTAAAGGATCATGGGACTTAGTAACTAGGGTGATAACTAGGGTAACTATACTATAACCCTAATTAGGGTACTTATAACCTTACTTACTAAGTCCCATGATCCTCCCCAGAGAATGCAGAAGCTCGTGCAAGCAGTCAGAAGTCACGAAGCCTCGCCTTTTGACCCTTGCCGCCCGTGGATTCAACCCTGCATCTCTCATAACCTTAAACCCTAAACCCTAAACTTCAACCCTGCATCTCTCATGACCTTAAACCTCCAGATAGCATTGGACCTGCAGCGCCACCAGCAGCGTCAGGCGCCGGATACTGGCAGTAACTCTGCGTAGCCTGGCACTTTCCAAGCTTCCCCGATCATGCAGACTCTCAGATACTTAAAGGATTACGGGACTTACTAACTAGGGTTATAATTAGGGTATAACTAGACTTGTAACGCCAATTAAGGCATTTAAGACCTTACTTACTAAGTCCCATGATCCTCCAAGTACTGTCCCTTCAGGTTGTTGACGGTCCTCTTGAAGTTGTCTGCCTGTCAACTTTCCGTGCTTGCCTGCGCTTTCTTTCAAACATGCTCATTTTCAAAGAGTGTCGCAACCCACTGCCCTGGCTCAACAGGCTCTATACATAGTGGACTATCTTATACTTTGGACTTTGGACCATGGACCGTCGACTGTAGCCTTCTGCAGCCAGTATAGAAAACGATGTTGTGGGTTTGTAGCTGATTATTGCCACACTGACAACTGCCCTTAGCTCTAGACCATGCGCCGCCTGCGGGGGAAGCAGCCGGGTGCATTCAGCAATGGCGAGAGAAGGCTCCTGAAGGCTTTTGGGCATCTGGCAGAGCCATTGGGATTGGGCGCGGCTTGCCTTTTCTACCGTGTACTTTGCAGGATTCCGCGGATGTCATACGGTGATGGCATGTGATGGCATGCGTACGGAAAGGTAGAGTGCAAGGTGTAGGCCAACGGCGGGTCCACAGTTGTAAGTATTCAGGTGGGGGGAAATTCGGAAGAGTGAATTCTGACTACCACCTTATGCCAGGAAAACGAAACCTCCACACAGTCCCTTCTTCGGACCCCGGCTGCAATCTCCGCAACACGTTTTCTTGATACGGAGTCTGTATATCTGGCCAAGACAGCTGAGGTATTTCGAATTGCTGCAGTGTCAAGGGCCTGCTGCTGTTTCCTTGCGAGTGATCAGAATCATGACAGCTTTTGGAGACAGATCTTTGAGCAGAAGGTCTGTCTCAAAAAGATCAGGAAAAGTGACGCGGCTTGCAAAGCACTCTTCGCTCGAATCCCGCTTGGCCTACAGTCACTGGACCTGCTACTCAGCAAGGTGGAGTGGCACAGCACGGACAGGGAGAGCATCAGCGAAGAAACGCTGAAGGTTCTGACTACAAAGCTCGGGAACCTTAAGAAGTTCTCCCTGGACATGTTTTGCCACGATGCAGAATTCCAGGCAGAACTAGTCAGAAACCTTCCCAGCACGCTGGAATCTCTTAGCTTGGCTATGGAGATGGAGGAAGGAGTTGTTGAGCTAATGGCCCAACATCTTCCGAGAAACTTGTCCAGCTTGGCGGTGGACTTCCACATGATGCTGGAGGGGGACCTCTCTGTTTTGCTGAAAGCTGTGCCCACATGCTTGAAACATCTTCGGCTGGGCTTGGCGGAGGTGCTTTCGAGGCAAGATTTACTGCACTTGAGTGCAATGATCAAAGACAATGCTGGATTGGAGACCTTGGTTTTGGACTTGGAAAACAACTCAGACTGCACAGGTGAAGCCCTCGACAAAGTTCTCCAAAGTCTTCCACCACAGCTTCGTCAGCTGGAACTCAAAATGACAAATCTCGACTTGAAGCATCCGGGCCTGAGCAGAGCTTTCGCGACGGGACTAGCGCAGTTGCGCCACCTGCAGATCCTAGTCCTAGACTTTGAGGAGTCGCATTTGGATCCAAATGCGAGATTTGCATCTGAAGTGCTGACGGCAGTGCAGTCTGAACTTTCGGAGTGCTCGTTGAATTTTGCAGCCTACCACGTTGCACCAGGGAGTTTGGCTTCTATCGCGGACATGCTGTCAAGGCAGCCATGCTTGCACCGCCTGCATTTGGATTTGCGTGCGCAAGAGGTGAATGAGAGTGTGCCGGACATTGCGAGGAGATGGCCCAACATCAAGGACTTGTCCTTGAGCTTCTTCAACTCTGACCTCTCTGGGCCAGCCATGGATGTGCTGTCTGCCGCTTTGCCCCGCAACCTCAAGTCTTTCAAGTTGAACATCGATGGTTGCTCTGCACTTGCACCGAAGAATATTGAAACTTTGTTTCGTAACTTGCCAAAGGGGCTTGCCGCGTGGTCGCAACTTGTACTGTGGTGTGGGGACGGGCCGCAGGTGCAAAAGTTTCAGGGGCAAGCGCAATTGCATAGACAGACTTCTAAGCAAGCAACTGACTAATAACTAAGGCTCACCTGGACTTGGAACTCGAGTGGAAAACTGCTTGTGGAGCTCAAGAGATTCAGTTCCCTCCCTTGTTGAAGACGCTTTGCTTCCGCTGCAGTGCCCTCTACGAGCCGGGTTCAAACGAAGCACGTTTTGTCCAAGCCTTTTGCGGAGAAATCCAATCTTTGAAACTGCAGCCGCTTCGGCTGAAACTTGTATTCAGTGTCCGTGCAAGCATGAAACAAGTGTCTTTTGTTTCCTCCTGGGGGCTTTCCGAGAATGGGGGACCCTAACATAGGACCCTAAATAGTAGGATCCTTATTAAGCCGACCCCTATTTTCGGAAACTCCCTCCCCTAGGGTTGCGAGGTCTTTAAAGCTGGGCTTTGAGATGTGCGACATCAGCTTGGAGAGCGCAGCCAAGCTAGCAAAGAGCTTGCCTACAAGTCTGCGCAAGCTCGAAATGGAAGCTTGGCTCACGAAATTCAGTAGTTTAGCACTATTAGCGACTTTGCTTGTGTTTTTTCATTTTTTTAGGTACTGTCTCATTACTTGTAAGACCTGACCAAGGACGTGGATGGAGTGGTTACTGCCGCAGACACTACGCAACGTTGGGAGGAGACGCTGCGTCCGCTCCAGCTTCGCTTCGGAAAAGGAGTTCGAATTCCGCAGGAAGGCAGCAGCAGTGATGCGAAGCGTGTGAACCTGTCAAGCCTTTTCGCCCTCCTTCACTAGCTTGTGTGCAGTGCTTTCTGGGGTCTTAGCACGGCGGGCGCCCCGCGCGTGCAATAGGGAAAGTGCTTTAATGCCTGCTGGTGATACTATGGCATTGAGCAATCATCCGCCAGATGTGGTCTACAGACAATTTCATACTTCGTGTACAGAGAGCCGGGACGTTGCGCCTGAAAGCCGAGAAGTTGATGCCAAAAGCTTCATTCACTCATTGGATTGAGCATGAGAAGAGTCGGAAGCGGCATAAACGCATATCGTGCTACTGACTTTGCTGATTCAAGCAGGAGAAGGTGCCTTCGCATGCAGTCGGGCACCTAGTCGAGGTGGCGTCAGCAGGAAAGCCATGAGCTCTTAGACACTTCCTGCATTAACCGTTAACCCCTGCACCATGCTGCTTTGCCAGTCTGAAGCGAGCCTTGGAAGTTGCCACGAACCGTCTCCAAGTTGCAGCCGTTGCTAGGGTCGGAGAGGGTGAGAGGCGGTGTGCTACAGTAGACGAAAATGGAGCTTACAGTGCTCACAGTACCAAGCCGTGCGTGCGATTTTCTGAGTATGCTGCACATACACTACAGTAAGTTCTGTTCCCTATCTGTTCACATTGCGAAAGTGCGAAAGAATGAACTGAGGCCATGATGGCAGGCCTCCAGCAAGTTCTGTCACAGGGAAATCTTTGCTTATTGGGATCTTGGGATCTCTGTTGATCGCGGTTCGCAGTGCTACAAGGCAGCGGGGTTGCAGAACAGAGCGCCTCTCAGAGAGGGAGGGCTGGACAGGACCCTCAGGGGGGTAGGGCGGAGGGGGGTAAGGGGCCTTAATACCTATAATAAGGATTGAAGAAGGCTTTGTGAGAAGGGCGCAACACTACAGATGCGCATCGCGGTGTCTCTAGGCAACGATTTGCGCGACAAGTTTTCTGCACTTTGCTGCTGCATGCACAAAGTGCTACCGCAATGAGCGGCCCCTTAGGGTGACCTTTCAAACGGGGCGATGCATATTCGCGCGACCTGTCGTGAGTTAGCCCCCCGCCCCCCAGTGCGAGACAGTTAACAAGTGCGCGGCGTTTTTCCCCGAAGGACCAACGAGTTTTCGACGCTATGATTCGGGCCCTGAACCCTAAACCCGAAACCCTAAAACATGAAGCATTAGGTGACGGTGTTGGAGACCATCGGAGACCTTCATCCTGCCCCTGACAGTCCAAGGCCCAGTGCGAAGATAGGAAGATGACGTCCACCCCAGAGACTCCAATATCCCTTAATTAAGGAATATACATTAAATCAGATTAGGGATCCTACTATGATTTAAGGTATATTCCTTAATTAAGGGATATTGGAGTCTCTGGGACTAAAAAGGCCCATGCCATTCCAGCTCGGAGCCCTTCTCTAAGATGATCTTTCTACATGAACTACACAGAGCTAGTTTCGATCAACTTTCATTTCATTTTCTCAAATGGTTTTTTCGAGCAGTCTAACTTAACTAGTTAAACAAACGAGCTAGTTGTATCTGTTTTATAAGACAACCAACATGTATTTGGATGTACTGTTAAAATTGTAATTACACCTTGAAATTGTACATCGTCCTGCTTTGGCATAAGCTCTCACAAGGCTTCCCGAGCACTTGTCGGGAAGCTGAACGGCCCAGCAGCCTGATGTAAGGCAAGCCAAGCCCGGACCCCAAAGGATGTACAGGCGCTTCCCCATCTCCGCGTCTAATATGCATGCAGAGCTTGCTGCCGTACGAGCTCGTTCAAGCCTTCGGTTACTTGCGGCTTTTCTGGGCCCAGTCGTAGAGACTTAAAGTTTAGCCAGAGCAAGGCCGTGTGTTCTTCAGGCCGGCATCCCGAACAACGACATGTCGGCAGCTTCGTGTAGTCCCCAGCTTCCGGCTGATTTGACTTCATGTCCATACTGCAGATTGTAGCTGCTGAGCGCGGGAAGAAAGTTTGGAGTGCTCTTGCTTAGGCATCTGGTCCCTGGGATCTCGGTGTTTAAGCTCTTTCGGGCTACTTCTAAAGAGGGCACACAGTCTCGTACGACCCATGCAGTGCAAGAGCTGCGTGAGGACCCGATCACCATGACCCCACGTCGAAGGCGAAGGCCCGTAGTCGCCGCGACCTGGGACTTGGTGTGCTGGACCCAAAAAAGGTGTCTGGGGGAGAGGCGGCCGCGGCTTGATATGTTTTGACTTCGGCTTGGATCCTGAACTTTGATTCGGGCTTAGAGTTTAGGGTTTAGGGTTGGGGGTTGCCAAATAGCCTCCGAAGTTTTGGCATCTCGGGGTTTAGTCGCCAAGTTCACTTTCACGGTAAAAACACGCACCATCTTGTTCCGAAGCTTTCCCAGACCAACAGCACATGTCTCAGCAACATGTCCGTACCTGGTATAGAGCAGACAAAGAAGCTTTGATGGCTGGTTGTGCGCTTTCCTTTCAAGAATTACAACAGCAACCTCGAAAGCGTTCGCAAGTAAGACCAGCTACTACAGTAGGCAGGACCGGTGTTCAGGGCTTTTGGTACTTGCATGTTATCTAGAAGCGGGTTGTCGAAGATCACCCGCAGCAGCTGCCAAAAAGAAAAGAAACCGGGGGGCAAGAAACGTAGAGTAAGGCAACGTGAAGATTTGCGCAGTTGCTACAGACTCGTCGCAACTTCTCACTAGCTGCCGCCCTTAACCCGAGACGCAATTCTAAAGCGGTAGCATTTGCATGCTGGCAGCTCGGCCGATGGTGAGCGTTTAGGCGGCTTGACCTGCAACAGCTTTGGTGACCGGAGTTGTGTAATTCAGGACTTGTGTGGGTTGTTTCGTGTTTCCGGCACTTGTGAACCACAAGCCCGGAACCCCGTTGCGCAATCGAGCACCGAACAGGTCTGGGGGAGGCCACATCTCAGACCTGGAATCCTGAATCAAAGCAAGCTTCAAGGAGAGCGCTTTGAATCCATTTAAACCCCAAACCCCAAATCCAAACCAAAGCCCGGAATCTCAGGCATTGCTGCAGAGGTCGATCATGCCCAGGACTTCGCACGCAAGGTTGGTTTACATAGTACCGGGCTCTGCCCGCATGAGTACAATAAGAACAATCATCATCATCATCATCATGAATATCATCATCATCATCATCATGATGATCATGAATATCATTGTGAAATGCCCGTGTTCTGTCTTTGGGGTGAGTCTGAGTTTCCCAATGTGCGGTTCGGCGGAGTCTATAGAACCAGTTTTGGGGTGATCTTTTAGACTTCTTGACATTCCGGGAGTATAGAGTACAAGCCATAAAGTTGGAACAGTATTGTGCTCTTTCCCTTCATGTAAAGTGAAGGGAATCCCAGCACTGGTCATCCTAATCCATATTCCGAGCTTCTGGGTACACTGCAATCTTTCGAAGGTTGACTTGTGCTGCCGGGGCCTTCTGTTGTAAAGTCAGCCGTCTTCCCACCCCTTAACCCTAAACACTAAACCCTTGCGTCACCTAAAGCTATCAGTTTCAAGATCGCTCCCTCGTTGAAGCAAGCAGCTAGCTCGGAAGGAGCATGAAATCAGGAAATGATAGGAGCATGTGCAGAAGGCAGGTTTAATCCTAGAAGCCACGAGGTCAACATGATGGAGGAGTCAAGCTGTTGCTCTTAGTGGCTTGAGCCCGGGTTACCCTGAACCCTGAACGCTAAATCCCTAAACCCGTAACCCTAGCTCTCAAATGCGCACTGAACTCCCAAATACGCAAAACTCCCTAAACCTTAAACCCAAAAATCCTTCACCCGAAATTCCTAAACCGTTTTACTTAAGATCCCTAAACCCTTAACCCTCCAATCCACTCAAAAACCTTGAAATCAACCCTGAAAGGAGCCCTTACAGGAGCTCTTGAAGAAGCGCGTAAAGAAGCCCCAAAAGAAGCCCTTCCAGGAGCCTTAACCCCCAAACCCATCATGTAAAGACACTTAAAGGAACCCTAGAAGAAGCCCTGAAAGGAACCTTAGAACAAGCCCTGAAAGGAATCCTTAAAGGAACCTTGGAGGAAGCCCTGAAAGGAATCCTTAAAGGAACCCTAGAAGAAGCCCTGAAAGGAATCCTTGAAGGAACCATAGAAGAAGCCCTTAAAGGAGCCCTGAAAGGAATCCTTAGAGGAAGCCTAGAAGAAGCCCTTAAAGGAGCCCTTGAGACTTTAAAGCAGATTTGAAGGCGCCCTTAAAAACCCTTAAAGAAGCCCTATGGTACCCTATAGATCCTTTAAGGAACCCTCAAAGGATCCCTTTAAAGGATCCCTTTAAAGGTACCCAGCCCTCCGCTCATCTTAGAGCCTTCCCAGGAGCCCCAGCCGCTGGCGACGGTCCCGAAGCCGGCGGAAGCGCTCCAGGCGGGGCTTTTGGGGTTCCTTTTAAGGTTTCCCTTAGGAGTTCCTTTAAGGGTTCCTTTAAGGGTTTAGGGTTTAGGGTTAAAGGGTTTAGGGTTGAGGGTTTAGGGTTCCTTTCAGGGTTTAGGGTTTCGGGTTCCTTTAAGGGTTTAGGGTTTAGGGTTCCTTTAAGGGTTTAGGCTTTAGGGTTCCTTTAAGGGATCCTTTAAAGGGATCCTCTAAAGGGATCCTTAATGGTTCCTTTAAGGGATCCTTTAAGGGATCTTCTAAAGGGATCCTTAATGGATGTTTTAAGGGATCCTTTAAGGGATCTTCTAAAGGGATCCTAATGGATGTTTTAAGGGATCCTTTAAGGGATCTCATAAGGGTGCCCTTGAGGTTAGGGTGCTATAAACAAGAGAGCCTTAAGGGATCTTGTAGCGGATCCTTCAAGGAATCTTATAAGGGTGCCTTTTCAGGGCTGTTAGGGTTTAGGGCTTTAGGGGTTTAGGGTTTCGTTCGGTTTAGGCCTTCAAGCGTCGGAGCTGAAGTGTGTTTTGATTTTGGCATCAATCTTATCACAATTTTGCAGATGTCCTAGCTGCGGTGGCCTCTCAGGCACAGGGTGTTGCGTGTAGGCAGCGTCTCGGGACTGTCTAGGCCCTAAAACTTATACCCTTGCC